TTGCTCAGTCATCATTGAAGTCGTCATCGTTCCCAGTCCTCGTCCCAGCACACATAGACCGCACTGAGAAAGAGGTGAAAACATTCCTCCTCTCAGCCAACAACGGTGTGGTTTTCGACAAACGTGTCTCGACAGGTCCACGGCGAACTTGTTCAGTTCAGCTCAGGCTCGTGTAGGTTGGTACGTACGTACACACGTTGTTGGTTGGTTTGGTATGCCTTGCCTTGGTTAGTCATGAGACGAGGTGTGTATAGAGGTATTACACCTTCGTTTCATATGCATGGGAACCTTTTTCTCTCGGCCCATTGTGGTGACTTATTTGTCCCCTTTATTTCTCGGAGTCTGACTTTGGGTTGCGAAAATATGTGCAACATCAGAGTCGTACGATGTTTGCACAATTCTAGGTAAATGGGTACAACTAGCTATATGGCCTGTTTTGACACTTGATACCGAATTGGGGTCGGTTTGTTTACCCCCAGCATCTGTAATCCCCGAATCTCGAAGCAGCTGTCGAATGGGGTATTCCATTAACCAGCGGCTTGCTATGATTTCGTTGAGAGGTCATTATGCGTTGAGCATAACGGCCGGAACGATCGGATTTAAGAGTTGCCCATCAATGAATCTTCCATTCCGTTCCCAGAGGAGGGCCAAGTGTAGAATTAAAATAACTAAAAATAAAAATAAGTTTGCTCTTTATCCATTCTCCGCGTTGATCGTTTCCTCTTCAGGTTTTATTACTATTCTCTCATCGCTTCGGTTTGATCCGGGTTTTCAGAGCCGCCTAGTGATGTACATAGTAGGCTGCGCCGAGCAGTGCGGCGCGGGAATGGAGAAATGGAACTAAAATAAAAAGCAGAACTCTCTCGGAATCATTAAAACATTCTTACCTCATGGAGCACCGAACCTGGCCCCGACACAGACTACCTACGGGTAGGGGAGCACCGAACAGGAGAAATTACTCCAAGAATGTTGAAAATAAACAGCAGCCGCCGCCCCATACCACGGGAAATGTAGATACGTGAAATTCAATAAAGCTGGGTAAACATTTACTCATTGCTCTCACACACGGTGGTGGAAGCGATCGGAGGAGACGGGTGCATGATGTGGGGAGAAGAGCTCACTTCAGTGATCTTGTGCCCTTGCGGGTAACATTTTACTGCCTTGGTCCGTAACTCTGATTAGCATGTGTGGAAGGAAGATATGCTACTTTCTAGTCGCAGTGTACAGTTTCGGGCGAAACGGTTGCCATTCCGTGTTCACACAATAAGACCCATAGAGTAAATTTGGGCGTGTATCGAAAAATGTAAGATCCTCTTGCAGTTTTGCATAAAAGATATACGAAATCTGTAATGTTATTTTCAATGGAATACGAAATCTACAATAAATTACCGCATGAACAACTTTCTAAACTTCCTTTGACCTTTCAACAAATATATAGAGATTTTATAATATATGTAGTTGCTTAAGTATTTTTCTGGTGTGTTTATAAAACGAATGTTATGTTACTTTAACTGTTAACTGTTACCAGTGGTCCAGAATGGAATTTGTAGCTGAATTAATTTAAGCTACTTCGTTGAAGAGTGCATCTTGAAATTTTTATTTTGAATCACTTTTACTGTTTTAGAGTCGTTCCTTGCTTATCTGGAAGTGGGATTTGAACCCGTCAATATGTATTGTCGGGAGTAGTGTCTAATGAACTTATATTCAACTTTTTTCTTTGTTTGGCACTTATTCAGAATTGTCATTGTAAGTATTGCACACAGACAGCACTTTTTTATGATCGTGAAAAACACAAAATTGCAGTGAAGCAAAGCGTAAATCATGTAAATTTTTGGGAGATAGTCGAGAATTAGGTGGAATGCAGCGTGATGTTCCTCATTGATAGTTAATTGGAAATCCTCCCAACAAACAATTTGAGATGAATAAAAGCTGAATAAGCCATTTTCAAGCTAACGAAACAATTTTTGACGTAGGGACTACGTCTGTGTTTTCTATATGGGGGTACACTTGGTGAAAACCAAATATTTAACGAAATTATGAAAGATTTTGAATGTTAATAGCTAAGCTGCCCTGGACAAATTTCAATAATTTTATCACCAATCGAACAGAAATATTTTTACAGATCGATAGCAATGCACTGTTGATTTTCAACAAAAAACTATTGTCCAAAAGCGTCGAAATAACTAACAAATCCACCAATTACGTACATGTAAATATATCTTGCTTCCCCAACACAGTTATCAGAGAATCGTTCCTTGACGTCTAAACATGTCGATGTTGCATTGCTGCTTCTCCAACGCTGTCATCAGAGAGTCGTTAGTAGACGAAACAAGTCGAAGTGGCATTCGCTTCCGATCTTCGGGCGTGGGTGAAGAGGGAGGAAGCAATTACGTAAAAGTACTAATTTATCTGAACAGGCATAGAGAAGAACCATGGCAAGAAACAGGATCATAAATTCGTCTTTCTGCTAAAGGCTAAGATTTTCCAACTTGTTGAGATAAGGAGTTTAACGAGAAAAACTAAAAAGGAGCTTTAGCTGGGTGGACACTTATATTCTGAGGCCTTCCACCTGTCGCAGACATCAATTCAACCCCTGAACATGTTCCAACTAAAATTCATATCAAAAGGTTCTTTTCAGGGCAACCATAGTCATACTAAATAGTATAAACAGAGAATACTATCAAACATTCTTGACCATAAGACCGCTAATCGATTCTACTTCTATGTAAAAAGTGTTTTTTTTTATTATTTCAGGCATAGTGCTTGGCGAATACGTGCAGGCGTAGGTGAACTTATAGGTATGCGCAGAGCATTTGGTCTTAAGTAAAAGGTTAGAAACTTTTTTGCATAGAAGTCAAATCTAAATCACGTGTTTTGTAAAAATTGTGCATTTTTAAATTATCAACATGCAAATTATTTCGTTCCGTTTCATACAAACATAAATTTCCCCTCACTTACTTTAAAACTGGCCCGAAAATAAAAGTCACTACCAAATTTCCTCAAATTAGGCACAGTTGTTGCGATGAAGACCTCAATAAATATTGAAAGACTAGTGGGGTTGCTGTTGTCAGCTACCATACAAGCGTGACCCACCCTATTGTCCTATACTGAGTCTGACGAAGACAAATCACAGCCACCTTCAGATTGCTGCGATGGACTTCAAATAAATTAATGCGTTACTCTATCGTAACGAGTGTACAGTTTATCATAAAATTGGCCGTACACTTAAATGGACAACTTTTTGAAACACAGTGAACAGATACATTTTTGAAATCAAGGCTGGTGGTTGTTCAACTATTTCAAGATCAACAATTGAAATGGCCTTAACTCCATTTTGTAAATAAACCTTGTAAGGCCATTTTCTCGCGAACCGAAGTCCGCAAAGGCAAACCAACATAATGAACAGGTAGGGGAAAGTCTCATCTACCCGTTTGTGGTTTAGGTTTGCGAATGAAGGTTTCGGTTCGCGAGAAAATGGCCTTACATGGTTTGTTTACAAAATGGAGTTAAGGCCATTTCAATTGTTGGTCTTGATTTATTGATTTATCGTTACACAATTGTGGACTTGATTTAAAGAGCTTTTAGTTATTCGCTCAATCATCACCGTATTATAGTCAAGTTAGCGGCATATAAAAGATGATTATTAACTTTTATTATGACTAGGAATGAGCTGAAATTAAAAAGGTTTGGCGTTATTCTAAAATAACTCTAACCGCACCCACTCAACGAAATACGTTCAAAACCATGCTGATGATCGATAAGTATGTGATAAATCTGCAGTCACAGATTTAGATATGTATCCGTTTGATTGTAAAGCTTAATTTTTATTATACAGTCATACCTCGATATAACGTAGATCATCATTTTTGCTTGAAAACAAATTGTGAGAACGTTAAACATTAAGATTGAATTTAATTTTTTTGGGAAGTAATTTACTACTTTGCAAGAATATATTTAAAAAAAGTATTTTTCCATTAAATCAAAATCGATATAGAAAAGATTAATGACGCTACTAGGGGAACCTAACTGACATTCGTTGTTGTGTCACGTAGCAATGAATACATTAGTATTTTTTAATTTTAAATGTTGTATTGTTTCGAAAGGAAATGGAAAATTAAGATACGTTAATTCGAGGTGTGACTGCTGTCATTTTTAAACATTGAAGGTTGCTTTCATTCACTGCGCTATAAATAATTCTTTTTCGGAATTATTAAATCTTTATATAATTAGATTATTTTGTTCATGTAAGTTACAAGTAGGGGTTGTAATGTGTTTTACACCTAAAACCTGTCAATTTGCTTTCAGAGAGTTCAATCATTGCTGCTCTGAGTTGTTGTAAGAAAATAATATGGTGCGAAAAGTTTGCGAGCATACTTTTGCTTTTCGCTGTTTCAAAGTTTACAGAAACGCAACTACGGGAACAGACCTAATAAAACAGGACCGGCCATGGATTGACACAAACATGAAACATGAGCGGTATTTTTGCAAGCGAATGAAAATGAAAATTTCACTCTCATTTAATCGGGTTTTAATTGTAATTCAAGGTCAACACTCTTCCTTTTTCAAAATTAGCTAATATTTCGTAGACACTTCAATAACAGTGCAGTGTTTGGAATGTTCTTGCACTAATACTGATGGTTTAAACTTGCGAAACGTTTTCATCAACTGCTGTGCACATCTTTTTAAAAGTCAGTCGAGCAGATTAAATAACATTAACACGTCTAAGCTGGGGGGATACTTGTCATACATCAGCTCACAGCTGGAAGTGTCACAAAACCGAAACAATTGAACCAATTTCAATCCCATTCCCACTGAGTCTTATCAATTTTCGAGGACGAATTCAATCAGTCATACCGATATGGACGATGGATATCTCCAAGGTGATGGGCGATATGCACATTCCTGTCTGCGTCACATAACACCGTTCGTCCGATTTTATTAATTCCTACACAATCCTACATGAAGGGGGACAAGAAGAGAGACGGTGCTTAAAAACTTACAATTTGACTGATTTCCGTGATCGGTACGTTCGGTGGCGGTGAAGGCGACGAGGTGGTCGACGAGTTGGACGACGACGAGGTCGTCGAAGTGGTCGATTTGTTCCTCGGAGGTGCCGGAGGCGGTGTAATTGGCAGTACGTTTACGTTGCACTCTTTCGAGTTCCGATTGGGCGAAATCCGGGCCGGAAAGCTGAGCGTTTTGGTCCACTGCGACAGACTTCGAACCATGGTGACGCAAGAATGGTGTAACGACTTAATCCCGAAGCTTAAACTACCATCGGAAATGGCTTGTTCCAGTTTTACACCTATCACTTCCTTTGCACTCGAAAAAAAATCTTCGCACCGGAAGCGGATCTTCCTTTTTCTTCTTCCAAAACAAAAAATCACACACTTGCTCTCCAATTGGTACACATAAAAAATATATTGATTGTATATAGTGCTTCACTAGCTTCCTCTGCAGCTGGTTCTATTTGAACCGTAAAACTTCCAGCAAACAGTATGACACTTGATATCCAGTTTCCGATCGTCACCAGAGGATGATGAAAAAATTGATCTCTTCAATCACCCAAGATCACACACGTAGATACGACCTGAAGCGATTATCGAACACGAAACGATCACGTTACACAATCCTTCTTCTCAGTGAAGATATGTATAGAGAAAACCTTAAACTTTGCTAATAACTCTCAACAGACACTGTGCAGACCGAGCTAGATCTACTCAGAACTTTCTTTGTTTGTACTCTGCGAACGTCCTTGCTGACGAACGAGTTGGAAGCGACTGATTCGTACCGTCGGTCGATCGGATGGGTGGAAGTGGCTCGCAACATGCAACATAAAACCAACGAAACCTCAACAGAAAATGGAGAACACACACATACAATCAAAACCTCGCTCATCAATCGATCCATCTTGCTCATGTCAATGGGGGCGCCGAGCGAATGTTTATGTTTGGTTTCACTCACACCAAAGTGCATCCATCGTGAGTGTTGTTATGATTCGGCTGCATGCAAACACCCGGCGCTCCGATGTGCTGCTGTGGGGTCACGGGTGGTGATCGACAAGACAACATATACACACACACATACACACTACGTACCGGTACTCGGCAATCGGCATATGTTTCAGAACACGAGTGGGTTGATACCGTGACCCGAGTGAGATGATGCTGCTTATGTTTCTTTTTTTTTAGGATTTATGTTACTCTCGAGATTTGTTTCGAGAGCCATAGTGCTTTTATTTAATTCTCTTTTTTATCTAGTTCATTTATATGGAAGGCTCAATCGCGTTAGATTTACGGAGCCGATAATTCGTCATTCATTGTTTGTAACAAAATTCCTTTATTTCTATGTCTAGCAGGAATTTGGCCGAATTTTCGCGACTTACCCGAGGTTAGAGGGGTACATTGTTTATTTATTTATTTCGTCAACCAACGTAGACTAGTACATATTCGTATACAGTTTTGTTTTCTTAAATTTATTTATTTATTTCGTCAACTTTGGACAAAAGGTTAAAAGTATAATTTTGTCTTTGATAAAAATTGAGCAGTGTCAGCTTTCCTATTTTATTATGAGTTATAATGCCTTATGGAGTAAAAATATTGTTTTAGTTTATGCCGAGACATTGTAAAGTCAATAGTTTCGCAGTATTGATTGTAAGAGGCCATCATGCGGTTTAATGGCCAATATTTTGCATAATTTGTGCGATGATGTTTTATGGCAAATAAATTTCGATTTCGGAGTTGCCGAGTAGGTGCATGGAAATTTAATTTTGATAAAAGTTCTGTGGAGTCAATGCGCTGCGAATCAATATCGTTTACAAATGAAACCATTGCATATTCACGACGCTCTTTTAATGTTTGTATGTTTATAAGCATGCAGCGTGCTTCATATGATCGAAGGGGAAATGATGTCCAACCTTATTTACAAAGAGCGTATAATAGAAATTGTTTTTGTACGGATTCTAATCTTTCTTCGTGCGTGATTGAAAAAGGAGACCATACAATGCTGCAATATTCCAGTATTGACCTCACATAGGCAATATATAGTGTTTTAATTGTGTATGGGTCCTGAAAGTTATAGCAAAAGAGCTTGATAAAGCATAGCATGTTATTTGCTCTGTGAATAATTGTGTTGTAATGGTCTATGAAAGTTAGTTTAGAGTCTAAGATAATTCCTAAATCCCTAGCTCTTTCACATTTTTCTACATTTTGATTACCTTGCAATTGAAATATTTGAAGTCGTTCTTTTCCTGCTAAATGATATTAAGTTGCATTTTTTTACATTCAATTCTAGTAGACTTTTTTTGCACCATATGTAAAATATGTGTATTTCATTCCGGAATACATTGATGTCTTCTTCTTTTCTTATTACTAAAAAGAGCTTCATGTCGTCGGCATAAATAAGTAATTTAAGTTTTTTGAGAATGAAAGAAATGTCGTTTACGTATAGAATAAAAAGAAGAGGGTCGCCTGAAGTGACTTGAATTGGACTCGATTTCTTTCCGTTGAATTTAATTATTTGTTGGCGGTTAGTTAAAAATGATTCAAGCCATTTTAGTAGCCCTGACTCAATTCCAGTTTTTTGCAATTTAAAAAGTAGCATCACCCCTCACCATCCCTCTCCAAAGCGGGAGTTTGGTAAAGAGAGATGATAAAACTGATTTGTACCTTCCTAAAAGTTGTCTAGCTCGCTTTCTACTTCTATATGCAATTTTCACACTGCCGTACGCTAAACGGAACTATCAATTCTATACTTTCATCTCCTCATCTATCGTATAAAAATTATAACTTCAGTCTGTTATTTGAAATTAGCATCTTCAACTATGTAAAGCATTGCATATATTTTATTGGAACCTTTTTTTTATTTTTAGGAAACATTTAATAACTTTTTCTATGTGTTATTATTTGTTATAAGGAATATTTAATCTTTTTTATTGATAATTTTTTATGGGTAAATTATTGATTTTTAGGGTGCATTTCAATTGTTTCTATTGGTGGGAAATATGGACTGTGATTGTATTGTTGTTTTTTTTTTTCAAAATATAAAAAACGCCAAAAATGGCTAATATAAGCATAATTATCCAAATAGCTTTAAAATCGTGAATTATGGACATAAAATTGCAAAATAACCTAGAAAGGCCAGAAACACTTTAAGAATGACAAAAAAAAAAACACAATTCAGTCATAACATTTGATAACGGCACAAAAGCATTTGTAAACAAACTTTCTAAGGCCCTTTACACGCGAACCAAAGTACGCCAACGCAAACCAACAACTTTCACCTTTCCGAAAGTGGTATTGGTTTGCGTTCAAGCCATTTTAACGAACAAGAAGTGAAATAACACGTTCTTATTTCAGCTTCGTTATGATGTGTGTACTAGTTTTGAATCAGAACAATTTTCCTAATATTTTTTATATCTGAACTCCTGCGACCTTTTAACGAACAGCCCGTGATCCACCGAACGGTAACTCGCGACCAATAAGCTGAGAAACGCTGACCTAGATCTTAGATTATTTTGAAGGAAACAGTTGTCCAAAAGCAATGAACAAAATGTGTCACTTATATGGCCAACAAGCAAACTCGGGTCAACTTGCATGAACCATTCAGAAAGATGTGGGAGCAGACAGCTGTTTTCTGTTCCTGCCCGGCACTCACACTTCTCTCATCTTATTTATGCGGGCATTGCATACTTCGAACCAAACAGCCTTCATGAAGGTAGACAAGGCAACATTCATGCCTACACAGATGTATAAGAAGAGGGAATCCAGAGAACAAAGTAAGGAGGCAAGGCATGAAATGTGTCGATGTCCCTCGATTGGCATTAAATAAACGGCGATGGTTCAGCTCTGTTCAGCTGCAACTCAACTACCGAAATCATAAAACGAGCCCAACTAAAGGCCACCTTTGCTTCTTACCTACTTTAGGCCAACTGATCGTGTTCTTACCTGTTATGTTTTGTTTGATCTCGCTGCTGGATTGTACCGTCCTTATGGATCATGATCATGACCTCAAACGACGAACGGTTATGATCTTTAAACGCTGCCTTCTTATAGAATGCGTTATCATATCAGTTTCTTCCCGTGATTTTCACTTACACAATTCCTAATGCAGCAGTGCCGTCCTGTGACGACTGTTTATTTTATGTTTCTCCTGTTCCATTGATATTTAATGTTTTAATGCTGATGCCCAACGCCGCCACTAATGTGTTGCTCATTTCCTGTTACAGTGAAAATTGAGAAAGGCGGTGTAATTGTTTTCTTTTCCATATACCTACGTAGTTTTGTGACTTTGTATTTTTGGAGTTTGTAATTTTTTATTATTAAATTTAAGATGAAGTTATAACATGATTTGAAATGTACACACTTAGAAATAACTAATTTACGTTTGATTGAGTTGAATTTCGCGTTTGTCAAAGTTGACGCTCGTATATGCCAGTCTCAGAGCACCTAAATTTACATGATTTTTTCTAAGTGTGATATGTTCAATTATCGTATGCATTATAACCCCGGATGTTCACTTGGCTTTCAGCTGGTTGAGTTATAATTTTTATAAATATTATTACATAACCAGATTTTCCCGTTGAGATTCACTGTCAACGAGAAGTATTATAGGGAGCTTTACCGTCGAGTTAACCTCAATTTTTTTACATCTGACGGAAGTTTGTATACATGGACTTATAATTAAAATTTTAAATTTATTTAAAAGAATGTTTTAGATGTTTTGAGAGGTTGATTTTTGAAAAGTGTATTGTCGAATAACACATCTTTAAGTTATTCACTTGAATCGACTAACAGGCAAAGGCAAACAAACCACTGCTGGCTGTCAAACCGATGGACGGAAGTTTATTGCATTCATTAGTGACATTAGTGTGCGTGCATCGAGACGTTTGCTAATCGAAACCCTAATAAAAATTGTATGGTTAATTTGCTTAACGACGTGTTCTGGGTATCATCCAAACAATTTGTGGAATAGTTCAATGATTTGGGTTATCGTTCGTTTATGGTTATTAGGAAAATGGAAAGCCATGTTGGCGATACCATAGAACCACAGATAGAACCTTACCCAAGTAGCATTTCTTGTTTTATTGCACTCTATTAGTGGTTTTTGAGATCAATTTTATAAAACTGTCAATAAAATTAATAGCTCCATCACAACCTTTTGATAACCGCTATAAGATCGTCTTCCAGCTTAGTGGACCACTCTTGATAAGGTTTATAAAGCATGTTTGAAAATCACAATAAAGCTGTCTTAAAACCTTTTGTAATAAAGCCCCATACTCTACAAAAGGTTCTCATAGCCTCTTTAAGAGTAATATTGTATTCAAGCAGTTTTATTACGCTTTGGTGAAAATCAGTTATAAATCCAATTTAATTTTTATTGCATCAAAGTAACCGCCATAAATGTTGTTGTTGTTCTGTTCTGCTGAAACTTTTTTTTTCATATGGTAATCTTTAGCTGTAAAAATAGGTTTGAATGTTGGTGTCAAGATCACCATGCAATCAATTTTGTGTCATAGCTACATTAGTAAAAAAATCTTAAAGAAAATATATGCCTTTTTAGAAGTTCCAAAACATATGCGCATGAAATTTTATCATGTTTATTGGGATAATATGAGCGTTAAATAAATGCACCTAAAAATAATTCAAGTTAACAAAAAAGATTGTTTTAGAAATCAAATTAATTTGATTGAATCATCTTAATTCTACAGAAAATAGATCTCAATAAATAAATTCATACTAATGACATTTTCATAATGACAATATGGCGAACACCAAGCGCAATTTC